CCATAGCTATCCCATAGTTCCCGCAGTCTCCCCTGCCCATTGGAATTCTGGGTTGAGATCCCAGTGCCTGATGGGACCAAAACATTGTCGCAGGTGGTTCTGGGTACAGCCTCACCCCCCCTCCCTCCCTCCCTCCCTGCATGAAAGCAACGGACGGCAGACAACCATTTCGCGCCTTTTTTCCTGGGTGAACACTGCAGACTCCATACCACGGCAAGCATGGAGCCCGCTCAGCTCAAGACAGCAGTCATGAACATTGTAAATACCTCGCGCCTTATCGTGCAGTTTATGCTGAACAAGAACCTGGAAAACCAGGCGGAGAGGAGCAGGCAACAGCAGAGCGGTGAATACAGTGATGAGGATATAGACATGGAATTCTATCGAACCGCGGGACCCGGTGCTTTGGAGATCATGCTGTTAATGGGGCAGGTTATAGGCATGGAACGCCGATTCTGGGCCCGTGAAACAAGCACAGACTGGTGGGACCGCATAGTGTTGCAGGTGTGGGACGATTCCCAGTGGCTGCGAAACTTTCGCATGCGTAAGGGCACTTTCATGGAACTTTGTGACTTGCTTTCCCCTGCCCTGAAGCGCCAGAATACCAGGATGAGAGCAGCCCTCACAGTTGAGAAGCGAGTGGCAATAGCCCTGTGGAAGCTTGCAACGCCAGACAGCTACCGGTCAGTCGGGAATCAATTTGGAGTGGGCAAATCTACTGTGGGGGCTGCTGTGATGCAAGTAGCCAAAGCAATCACTGAGGTGCTGCTACACAAGCTAGTGACTCTGGGGGATGTGCAGGTCATAGTGGATGGCTTTGCTGCAATGGGATTCCCTAACTGTGGTGGGGCGATAGATGGAACCCACATCCCTATCTTGGCACCGGAGCACCAGGGTACCCAGTACGTAAACCGCAAGGGGTACTTTTCAATGGTGCTGCAAGCACTGGTGGATCACAAGGGACGTTTCACCAACATCAACGTGGGGTGGCCGGGAAGGGTTCATGATGCACGCGTCTTCAGGAACACTAATCTGTTTAAACGGCTGCAGCAAGGGACTTACTTCCCGGACCAGAAAATAACCGTTGGGGATGTTGAAATGCCTATAGTTATCCTTGGGGACCCAGCCTACCCCTTAATGCCATGGCTCATGAAGCCATACACAGGCAGCCTGGTCAGGAGTCAGGAGCTGTTTAACTACAGGCTGAGCAAGTGCAGAATGGTGGTAGAATGTGCATTTGGCCGTTTAAAAGCGCGCTGGAGATCGCAGCCAAAGAAATCTCCCCATTGTTATTTCTGCTTGCTGTGTGCTCCACAATCTCTGTGAAAGTAAGGGGGAGACCTTTATGGCAGGGTGGGAGGCTGAGGCAAATCGCCTGGCTGCTGATTACGCGCAGCCAGACACCAGGGCGATTAGAAGAACACACCAGGAAGCGCTGTGCATCAGAGAAGCTTTGAAAACCAGTTTCATGACTGGCCAGGCTACAGTGTGAAATTTCTGTTTGTTTCTCCCTTCATGAAAACCAGCCCCCTTTATTGACTCATTCATTCTCTGTAAGCAACCCACCCTCCCCCCAGCTTTCTTTCAAAGGTAATAAAGTCACTATCGTTTAAAAATCATGTATTCTTTATTAAGTGATTATAAACATAGGGAGAGAACCAAGAAGGTAATCTGGGTGAGGTTTGGGAGGAGGATAGGAGGGAAGTCTAAGGCCACTGATCAAATTCAATATAATGACAGCCTTTTGGTTGGGCTGTCCCCTGGGGTGGAGTGAGAGGGTGCACGGAGCCTCCCCCCCCCGCGTTCTTACACGTTTGGGTGACGAGGATATGGAACATGGTGAGGGGGGAGGTAGGTTATACAGCGGCTGCAGCGGCAGTCTGTCATCCTGCTGCCGTTCCTGAAGCTCCACCAGACGCCGGAGCATGTCCGTTTGCTCACGCAGCAGCCCCAGCGTTGCAGCCTGCCACCTCTCATCTCGAGCATCCCTCAAGACCTCACGTTCACTGGCATCTTTCCTAAATTTAGATACAGTGTCCTTCCACTCATTCAAATGAGCTCTTTCATTGCGGGTGGATTTCATTATTTCTGTGAACATGTCGTCTCGCGTCATCTTTCTACGACGCCTTATCTGAGATAGCCTTCTGGACGCAGAAGGGAGGCTTGAAACATTTGCAGCTGCTGGAGGGAGGGTTGAAAAAAAGTAGACAAGTTTTTAAAATGATACATTTTACAGAACAATGCTTATACTCTTTCATGGTGAACACTATTCACATTACATAGCACATGTGATTTCAGTACAAGGTCGCATTTTCCATCTTATTGAGTGCCTGTGGCTTTGGTGTTAGAGATCACAGACGCAGGTCCGGGCAACAGAATTCAGCTTGCAGGCAGCCATGGTAAGCCATTGTCTTTCGGCTTCTGCGCCCTCCTTTCCAACATACCAATCAAAGCCTGTTGACTTCTGAGGTTTTCCTGTTAACCTTCAGCAGCAGAAAACAAACTAACCCCCCCAACATCCAATTCTCTGGGATGATCGCTGTATCCCTCTCCCCACCGCGTGGCAGGTATCAGGGAAGATCCCTGCAGAAACCAAACTAACCCCCCCGCCCCCCCCCCCCGCCATGAATTCCCTGGGATGATCAATGTACCCCTCCCCCAACCGCGTGGCTGGTAACAGGGAAGATCCCTGCAGAAACCAAACTAACCCTCCCGCCATGAATTCCCTGGGATGATTAATGTACCCCTCCCTCGACCGCGTGGCTGGTAACAGGGAAGATCCCTGCAGAAACCAAACTAAACTCCCCCCCCCGCCATGAATTCCCTGGGATGATCGCTTTACCCTTCCCCCCACAGCGTGGCTGGTATCAGGGAAGATCCCTGCTAGCCAAACGCGAAAAGCTCTGGGCCAATCCCCCCTCCCCCCCGCGCTTGGCTAACTGCAGGGAAGGATTTCTTATCAGCCACAGGCAAACAGCCCAGTAGGAACGGCCACCTCTGTCCCCTTAATTAAGTTCCCGTATTTCAAGCAGGTTACCATGAGCGATATCACTCTCCTGAGGATTACACAGCAAGATAAAGAACGGATGTTGCTTGAATGCCAGCAAACACCGGGACCATACGCTGCCAGGCTTTGTCAGGCAATGATACCAGATTACTTGCTGCAAGCTTGGCGTGGTCAAGTGTCCTACCATGGAGGACGGAATAAAGCGGCACTGCCCAGAAACCTTGTGGCAAGGCTTTTGGAGTACCTACAGGAGAGCTTCATGGAGATGTCCCTGGAGGATTTCCGCTCCATCCCCAGACACATTAACAGACTTTTCCAGTAGCTGTACTGGCTGCGAATGCATCCCAAGTCCTCAGGGCAAAATAATCATTAAAAAACCTTGCTTTTAAACCATGTTTTATATTTTAAAAGGTAAACTCACCTGAGGTTCCTTCCATGGGGTCATGGTCTTGGCTACTGGCTTGGGAGGCTTGGGAGGGTACTTCAGTCAGGCTGAGAAAAAGCTCCTGGCTGTTGGGGAGAACGGAGTGCTGGGTGCTCTCTGCAAGATCCTCCTCCTCCTCCTCCTCTTCCCCATCCTCAGAATCCTCAGGTGTAGAGACTATCCCAGACCCGGTTTGCACGATCACAGGTGGGGCAGTGGTGGCGGCCCCCCCTAGAATTGCATTCAGCTCTGCGTAGAAGCGGCATGTCCGCGGCTTTGACCCGGAGCGACCGTTTGCCTCCTTTGTTTTTTGATAGGCTTGTCTGAGCTCCTTCACTTTCACGCGGCACTGATCTGAGTCCCTATTGTGGCCTCTCTCCATCATGCCTTTGGAGATTTTTTCAAAAGTTTTGGCATTTCGTCTTTTGGAACGAAGTTCTGCTAGCACTGAATCCTCTCCCCATACAGCGATCAGATCCAGTACCTCCCGTGCGGTCCATGCTGGTGCTCTTTTTCGATTATCAGCCTGCATGGTTACCTGTGCTGATGAGCTGAGGTATCTGTGGTATGTGTGGTCACCTGTGCTCTCCACGCTGGGCAAACAGGAAATGAAATTCAAATTTTCCTGGGTCTTTTCCTGTCTACCTGGGCAGTGCATCCGAGGTCAGATTGCTGTCCAGAGCGGTCAGTGGTGCACTGTGGGATAGCTCCCGGAGGCCAATACCATCGATTTGTGGCCACACTAACCCTAATTCGAATTAACAAAATCGATTTTGGCGCTACTCCGCTCGTCGAGGTGGAGTACAGAAATCGATTTAAAGCGCCCTTTAATTCGAACTAAATGGCTCCGTTGTGTGGACGGGTGAAGGGTTAATTCGAATTAACGCTGCTAAATCCGAATTAATCCCGTAGTGTAGACCAGGCCTAAGCCACACTCTCACTCCCACAGAAGAGGCCTGCCAGTTCAGGGTTGAGACACAGAGGCAGAGCAGCATGGGGAAATTTGTCCTGCCACTGCTTATGCTGTACTTGTATCAAGGTGAAATAGAGGATTTGAGATGGAGAGCTATTAAAGAAGAGCACCTTTACACTAAATTTTCTGAAGAAAAAACAGAAAATTATAACTTCTCCATTACAGGCAGTTTCAGAAGGCAGCCTTCTGGTAAATCCATGTTTGCTATTTTCCATGTGTATTATGATAATCTTTGTATTCCATTGGCAGTCCACACACAATGCTGCTGCATTTTCATTTTTCCTCATGCTGTCGTCAGAAGGCTCCAAGAAAAACAAACAAACAAAAATAACTCCAAACCAAACCCTAACCAAATAACCAAAAAACAAACAACAAAAACCCTGCAGTGCCTCACTAGTAGTATCCAAAGGTTACGTTCTTTCCATTTCATTTTTATTCCAGCTATACAAAGAAAAAGTTCTCTATGTCTAGACTATGACCAATTTTGCAAAAATAAATTACAAGAGTTAGCTGTAATCCACCACCAGGAAAGTAAATTTTGTTAGTAATTTTGTAAGAGTGAGTCCTATCTCTTGCTAGGAGTACCGCTGGTGACTTACTGTTGGCTACTGCCCATAAACGCTCTTCTTGGAATTGCAACATCTGGTATGTAAAGCCCATTCCTTCTTCCCCAATGAGGTATTTGCTGGGAACTCTGACATCTTCAAAAAAGATCTGTGCTGTGTCTGATGACCTCATACCCATCTTGTCTATCTTTTTAGCAATGTGAACACCTAAAAATAAAGATGGATTAGGAAGGATACTGGGAATAAGAGTCTAGGGTATATAATTATACATATTAATTTAACAAAAAAAAGAGTTCTGTACTAATGTTTGCAAATTTGAAAATTTCTATGCTTAGGCTACAATAAAATCCTAAATTTAGGAAAACATGAAAGTGTCTTAAACTTAACCACAGCATTTCTACCCTGTAAGAACACCACTATTTTAAAATGGGAAATCAGAATTCTCATAATCCTAAAGACCTTACTTCTCATAATCCTAAAAAATTAATGATTTGCTAGTAGAAATGGCCTTTATTTTAATGGACTTCTAGAAATCTAGCAGTATCAGGTTAGCTTTTATGTTATTTTATACTGTACACAATGCAGAAATTAGTGTAACTTTTTGAATGACAGCACTGTAGTAAAGGCAGTAATAGATATTTAAGAATATAAACATTTTATCTGTGTATTTTGTAACCTATGAGTTATCTTTCAATTATATGAGCAGTTCCCAATTCATAAGTATCTGCAAATTAGTCTCACATTAACTCATTTTCAGTATTAGTGAAATTAGGTCCAAGACTTTCCTTTCCCTCTCTCAGTATACTATGTTGCAATGATAGCATTTTTCTGGAAAGAGGGTACTTGTCTAGTCAAAACTGTCTCTCTCCAGTGACATTAAAAAGTCACATTACATACATATGGAACACAATGGAGGCTTTCAGCAACTAACACCAGCTATTCTCTCATTTTCTTCTGCCAGCTAGCAGTGACTATTTTGCAGCTGGCCAGTTAGATTTAAATCACTTGAAATTAATCCCCAAACAGTGTCAAAGGCATAGAGGAATTTTTTTTCTTTTCACATGAGAAAAAAGAACATTTTTGCCTCTGGTAGTCTTGAGTGGCATGTAAATGTATATGGCTCATTACTTAACCCTCCTGAGAGCATCGCTCTTGACTCTTTATTAATTGCTCTTTTATGAAAAGAGTTTAAGCATCAGATGTCAGGGAAAATGCGGTTTGGTCCACATTAAAACCCTTATTCTCGCTGTTGAGCTGCCATAAAAGCAATCTCACTGAAGTCCCACACCTCATCAAGGTGGGAAATTTATTCTTGCACAGATGGACCAATGCACCACTTCAGAGGCGCATATGCGTTAGGTGGTGAATTTCACCTAACATATATAAGATTTGCACAATCTAATTTCAAATAGCATCTTCTCTACAGCTATGGTATCTTGCCAGGCTGTATCATTCACTCACTCCAACAAGGAGATCCAAAACTAAACAATATGAAAACTCCTCCTTTTTTTGGCATATAGAGAGTGGATGAGCTTTACTCCAGGAAGTGGGCCCAAATCCATAATTTTATTTAGCATTGCCTAGTAATCCATCTCCATAGCAGACGTGATGTCAGATTAGGTTGAAATAAATGTTCTGCTCTTCCAACCACAGAGTTAGCAGTGGCTTGTGTAACATTAAATGACAAACACTATGTTAATGCAATAGTAAAATTGCATTGTTAAGCAACCAAAGCTTTAGAAATGATAAAATTAAAATTGAAAGCATTACCTTAATGTTCCCACCTTATGTATTAATGCACAATCTTTATTTACACACTATGATTACACACTATGATTCAAATAATAGCATTTCTCATATGTATTCTTTATATAACAAACACATATATTACCATCTTGTATTTTGTTATTGTATTATTATATATGTAATATCTTGTATTATGTATTACTGTGTGTATAGCTAACAAGGCCACAAAAGTATTTTTTATTAAAATTGCACAATATAATATTTGAACATATCACAGATAAAATATTATATACTGTTATATAGTAATAGTGAAAATGTGCTCACATATAGGGGCGTATATTTAAAATTACAACATAAACACTTTCAGTCACTATGTTTCTTCAGTTATGATTCAAAAATACTTCTTACTTTAAATAATTTACTTAGTAAAACTAAATACTTAGCCCCAAGAAATATACATATGTTTTAAATGTTCTTATGGAGAAAAAGCATTTGTAACTTGTGCATCTATTAATATACTGATAGCTTTCTAATTAGTAGTATATAAGTATAAATTCTGTGCTGTAATTCTCTCACTAAAGAGTTTAACAGTGTTTTTGAAAGATGAAAGGCGAACATAGAAGTTTACAGTTTCTATGCCCCAAAGCTCCATGTATTCTATAAATATAAAATAATAAACACTATATTGTGGGGAGTGGATGTAGCTGAACACCACTTTGGGGGGATGGGGTGGGGTGGGGTGGGAGTGGGGGAGGACCAGAATCCAGGACAGCATTTGTGAACCCTCTCCAAGATTAAAACACTGGATATTATGATATTATTGTTCAGAGTTTTGCTTCAATCTGTTTTTAATGATGTTTTGCAAGGTATTAATTTTGTCCTTGGCAATTACTTAACTTATCTGTTTCCGCAGTAGCTTATAAACTACTCTAACAGAAGCTTATTGATAGACTTTTTAAAACAATATTTCTGGCCAGAAGAACCCTTTATGTTACAGTAGCTTTGGCATCAGAGGCTGAAGTCTGCAAAATATTTAATTTCCTCCCTTTGTCCCTTTCTGTTCATTCATTCATTCTGTACCTATCATTTAATATTTCAGAGTGACATAGAATCATAGGACTGGACGGGACCTCGAGAGGTCATCTATTCCAGTCCCCTGCACTCATGGCAGGACTAAGTATTATCTAGACCATCCTTGACAGGTGTTTGTCTAACCTGCTCTTAAAAATCTCCAGTGATGGAGATTCCACAACCTTCCTAGGCAATTTATTCCAGTGTTTAACCACTCTGACAGAAGTTTTTTCTAATGTCCAACCTAAACCTCCTTTGCTGCAATTTTAGCCTATTGCTTCTTGTCCTAGTCTCAGAGGCTAAGGAGAACAATTTTTCTCCCTCCTCCTTGTAACAACCTTTTATGTACTTGAAAACTGTTATCATATTCCCCCTACGTCAGTGGTGGGCAACTTGCAGCCCATCAGGGTAATCCACTGGCGGGCGTCAGACTGTTTGTTTACATTTGTACGGCCATCCGCAGCTCCCATTAGCCAGGAACGGCGAACTGTGGCCACTGGGAGCTGTGAATGTAAACAAATGTAAACAAATGGTCTGGCAGCCCGCAGCAGATTACTCTGACAGGCCACATTCAGCCCACAGGCCGCAGGTTGCCCACAACAGCTCTAAGTCTTCTCTTCTCCAGACTAAACAAACCCAATTTTTCAATCTTCCCTCATAGGTCACGTTTTCTAGACCTTTAAACATTTTTGTTGCTCTTCACTGGACTTTCTCCAATTGGTCCAGATCTTTCCTGAAATATGGTGCCCAGAACTGGACACAATACTCCAGCTGAGACCTAATCAGCGCAGAGTAGAGCGGAAGAATTACTTCTCATGTCTTGCTCACAATACTCCTGTTAATACATCCCAGAATGATGTTTGCTTTTTTTTTTTTTTGCAATAGTGTTACACTGTTCACTCATATTTAGCTTGTGATCCATTATGGCCCCCAGAACCCTTTTTGCAGTACTCCATCCTAGGGAATATTTGCTTGGTTACTTTATTTGACAAAGAAACACTGATTTGAGGACAGGTTACGTTCTCTCCATAAGATTTTATATCATATGCTGTAAAACACAATAAAAAGAAAACTGTAAGAAAAACAAATCAGTGCTTTTACCAGGTAGGTTCATTGGTAGACATATAAGAGATTTATTTTGGTGGGGGGGTCCTTCACTGGAATTTGCCAGCAGGCACATCCAGTCAGCTTGACATCCTGAAGTAATCCACATTTTGCCACCATTTATGACATAGTCATCGCCTTTTCTTACTGCTGTTGTTTTGATACCTATTTAAAAACAAATGTGAAATCAGAGATTCTTTTCACATGGGAGGGATCAGGTGATTGAAGTGTGATTGGTAGCGTTAGTCCCTCAGTCACATCAGCAGTCAGACAGCTAGCATTCACTCATTGCTCAACAACTGTTGAGAGTCATGGAAGCAAATGCTAAAGATACCATAATTGTTCATGTGCCTTCATTTAAGTTATATTTCAGATTAAAAAATACCAAGTACCACAATAGGATTGTGCACACAACCTTTACGTTTGAATGACCACTCTGCTCTACTGCATTTTAGGTAATCTAAAGGAAAAAGATGAATGAAATGAAACCAATGAGAAATGTGGGGAACCAGATCATCTAGGCCAGTGGTTCTCAACCAGGGGTGCATGTGCCCCGGGGGTACACAGAAATCTTCCAGGGGGTACATCAACCCATCTAGATATTTGCCTAGTTTTACAACAGGCTACAGAAAAAGCACTAGTGAAGTCAGTACAAACTAAAATTTCATACAATGACTTGTTTATACTGCTCTCTATATATACACTAAAATGTAAGTACAATATTTATATTCCAATTGATTTCTAATTATTAGAGCTGTCAAGCAATTAAAAAAGTAATCATGATGAATCGTGCTATTAGAAAAATTAATCGTGAGTAATCGCACAATTAACTGCGCTGTTAAACAATAATAGAATACCATTTATTTAAATATTTTTGGATGTTTTCTACATTTTCAAATATATTGATTTCAATTACAACACCGAATACAAAGTATACAGTGCTCACTTTATATTTATTTTTTATTACAAATATTTGCACTGTAAAAACCAAAAGAAATAGTATTTTTTAATTCACCTAATACAAGTACTGTAGTGCAATTTCTTTACAATGAAAGTTGAACTTACAAATGTAGAATTATGTACAAAAAAATAATTGCATTCAAAAATAAAACAATGTAAAACTTTAGAGCCTACAAATCCACTCAGTCCTATTTCTTGTTCAGCCAGTCGCTCAGACAAACAAGTTTGTTTACATATGCAGGAGATAATGCTGCCCACTTCTTGTTTACAACGTTACCTGAAAGTGAGAACAGGTGTTTGCATGGCATTGTTGTAGCTGGCATCACAAGATATTTATGTGCCAGATGTTCTAAACATTCATATGTCCCTTCATGCTTCAACCACCATTCCAGAGGACATGAGTCCATGCTGATGACGGATTCTGCTCAATAACGATCCAAAGCAGTGCAGACCAATGCATGTTCATTTTCATCATCTGAGTCAGATGCCACCAGCAGAAGGTTGATTTTCTGTTTTTGGTGGTTCAGGTTCTGTAGTTTCTGCATTAGAGTGTTGCTCTTTTAAGACTTCTGAAAGTATGCTCCACACCTTGTCTCTCTCAGATTTTGGAAGGCACTTCAGATTCTTAAACATTGGGTTGAGTACTGTAGCTATCTTTAGAAATCTGATATTGGAACCTTCTTTGTGTTTTGTCAAATCTGCAGTGAAAGTGTTCTTGAATCAAACAACATATGCTGGGACATCATCCTACACTACCATAACACAAAATATATGGCAGAATGCAGATAAAACCATGGAGCAGGAAACATACAATTCTCCTCCAAGGAGTTCAGTCAGAAATTTAATTAACACATTTTTTTAAACAAGCATCATCAGCATGGAAGCATGTCTTCTGGAATAGTGGTCGAAGTATGAAGGGGCATATGAATGTGTAGCATATCTGGCACGTAAATACCTTGCAATGCCGGCTCCAAAACTGCCATGCAAAGGCCTTTTTTCACTTTCAGGTGACACTGTAAATAATAAGTCGGGCAGCATTATCTCCTGTAAATGTAACCAAACTTCTTTGTCTTAGCGATTGGCTGAAAAAGAAGTAGGACTGAGTGGACTTGTTGGCTCTAAAGTTTTATACTGTTTTGTTATTGAGTGAAGTTATGTAACAAAAAAAAATTCTACATTTGTATGTTGCACTTTCACAATAAAGCGATTGCATTACAGTACTTGTATGAGGTGAATTGAAAAATACTATTATTATGTTTGTCATTTTTACAGTGGAAATATTTGTAATCAAAAGTAATATAAAGTGAGCACTGTACACTTTGTATTCTGTGTTGTAATTGAAATAAAAAAAATGAAAATGGAGAAAAACATCCAAAATATTTAATAAATTTCAATTGGTATTCTATTGTTTAACAGTGCGATTAAAACTGTGATTAATCGTGATTAATTTTTTTAATCACAATTAATTTTTTTGAGTTAATCGCCTGAGTTAACTGATTAAATTGACAGCCCTAATAATTATATGGTAAAAATGAGAAAGTAAGCAATTTTTCAGTAATAGTGTGCTGTGATACTTTTATGTTTGATTTTGTAAGCAAGGAGTTTTTAAGTGAGGTGATACTTGGGGGTACGCAAGACAAATCAGACTACAGAAAGGGGTACAGTAGTCCGGAAAGGTTGAGAGACACTGATCTAGGCTGCCCTAAAGTCAGTCCCACTGGTCACTGGAGTATTTCCCCTGCCTAAAAGGAACTTTGTGTGAAACAGAGCCACCGTAGTAACGTGGCCAAGGCTCCCTTATGCCTGATTGATCCTTGCTTGCCATTTGGAACCATTGGCAGCTGGTAAGTACAAGAGTAGCCTTATACCAGGGACCAGACACCCCGCCCCTAGGACTGGGTGAGCACAGAGGTGTCTGAAGGCCTCCTTTGCACCCCACATTCCTTTCCTCAGCTGCACTGAGTGTTCCTCCTCCTCTTCAGTTAAACAGAGAGACCTCTTAAGAATAAAAACAGATTACCTTTGATTTTCCAAAGTGTTATTCCAAGTGTATTATGCCAATCAAGTTAGATGATAAATAACATGTACCTAAGCAGAGAATTTAAGTCACCAGCTATCTGCACCACTCCATCTCGAAATCAAAACCGTATTTAGAAAGTTCTGATATTGATTTAATTTAACCAGAAAGGCATTTGTTAAAATAATTAGTCAATGCTGTGTTTCCCCTGCTAGTTACTTCAAGTTAATTTACTTCCTATTACTGGAAATAAAACTACTGATGATAACAGTGAACTTTCCTACAAACACAGCCAATTTACTGGAAAGAAAATGACGGTGGATCCACAGAGGGATTTAGGCATATCATTTCCATTACTGTTATTCCATGTAACATTGAATAATGATCTTGGAGATATATTTGTCTTTAGAAATCAGAAATCAAAATGTAATCCGTGTTTTTGACAGAGCAAATATTCTAGAAACTAAACATTTTACATGGTTTTATTGACCAAGAAACTTCACCCAACATGAGATATAATCTCATTAGCCCTGTCTGCAGGAGAAATTTGTACCATTATAACTTCTACTACTTCAGATGAACCACTGTAGTTTGTAAGAGAGTTGTGTGTCTAAACTAACCATATTGGCCTGTGTAAATCTGTTCACTGTGTCCAGAAACAGTGCCACTTCCAACCACTGCAGTACCAATTCATTGTGGGTTCCTCTCCCACGGGTCACTGAAAAAGGGTGTTGTGGGAATAGCAATCCATATGTGGAGATGTGATGTATCAAATTGTTTTTCTGCAAAGCACATTCCATTTCATCGTTCAAGAGACAGGTTGCTTTATGCACTGAACAATGTAATGGCTTGTTTACATGGAGAGTTATTCCAGAATAGCTATTCCTAATTAACTATTCCTGATTAACTTCATGTGTTGGTGCTCTTATTCTAGAATAATAGTGCCTTATTCTCAAATCCATTTTGTTCTGGAATAAGAGCATCCACCTATGGAGTTAATCAAGAATAGTTACTCTGCTTTAAATTCACACCCTACCTTTTTCCAGATTAACTTTCACATGTAAATACATCCCTAATTTATAACACAGTCTAGGTATTGAAACAAGAAAAGGTGTATGACTACAGACACTGACTACAGAAAACTTGTATGCGCAACATGACAAACTACATTAGCTCTAAACACTACAGGAGGCATTTTACACTGCAGAGAGTGGGTGTTGCAGGAGTGTTGTGGGATTGTGCTGGAAGGTCATACTGCAACAGTGAAGATAAAATGCCAGGGCTTTCAGTACATATTAGCATTGAAACAGTTCAGAGCAGAATACAGTGGTGGTAAGATTAGCTTTGAACGAATGCAATGGCAATTGTGCTGGCAATCCCGTCGCACAGTTCCAAGCACTCTTGTATGTTTGGACGAGAGATGTGTTGCAAGCAGGGAAGGTGCTGGCAGTGTTCATTCTCTAGCACAGACAAGGCTAGTGAAGTGAAACTGAACAAGTGTAATAAGTAAATAAAGACAAAAGGGCAACCAGTAAACAAAGACAGCAAAACTTGAGGGTCAGTATGAAAGGCATCTGTAAAATTTCTTCCCTGACTTTATAAAATTATACTTTTGTTTGAAAATAATTTTAAGCATATTAACCTTCTCCTGTATTTCACAAGATTACTATCTGCCCTAACTTATTTAGATAGTGGAGTCAGTTGAAAAGTACAATTCACAGCAGAAACTGCAGTGAAGGAGTCACTGCTTGTGAAATCATAGAGGAAATGGAAGAAACTCAGCATTATGATACATTAATGCAGTTTCCAGCCGAATGCCCAATATCGTCCAGTTGTCACCACTGTAAACAAGAGATTTCCATTAGTAGGTGTTGCAGTGTTATGTCTATATCAGTAAGCCGTGCTGGTCTAGGGCCATTTTCTGCAATATGGAGAGTTAACGCATTCAGTCTCTTCAAGCACAGAATACTTTTCTTTTGAACAGTGGGCCAGATTCAGCAGTGATGTAAAGAATAACACCTCCCCACATTATTTTATAATCTCTTGTTAGTTGTGCTTTCTTTTATTCTCTCATGAGGAAGTAAATCACACTAGGTTCACACATCTGTTGAATGACAAATCAGTGCAAATTACACTACTTTACCACTTAAAGTCACTTACACCCCTTTCTGACCAGTTTATGAGAAAGTAAAATTTACACTAATATTTACATTACTGCTGAATTTGGCTCAGAGGCTTCCATGGTCTTATTGGTCTGTTCCCCTTTTCCAACCTTGCCCATCCTAGTCATTTTTCCTAGAAATTTCCCACCAATGCCACCATAGTAGTAGCAATGAGGGGGAATCCAGATAAACAGGGTACTGACATTTTAATCACTATGTCATGTAAGTTTTGCTCCAGTATGTTAGCTTTAGCAATCCTAGGCATAATCAGTTTGCTTACTTGCAACATCTGACCCTGCTCCAGGTTCACTGACTCCTAAACAAGCCACTACTTCTCCAGCTATAGTTGGTACAAGGAACTGTTGTTTCAGCTCATCAGAACCAAATCTGCAATGAAAGAATGGAAACACAGACGGTTAAAGGCTTTTGAAGGGGAGTTATGCATATAAAATCTAGTCTTTCTTGGTGAAACGCACTCCACCCACATAACACTTAAATAATTTATCTCTATGTAGGTGGTGTGCACGGAGCAAAATCTACACTCCAAGCCCAAAGATGGGATAGAGATCCTCCAAACTCACATTCCAACCTCTGGCTGGAATAGCAGCCACAACTACTTTGCACCCACTGTATTGGGGGTGTCCAAATCTGTGTAAATGTGGATCCAATGGCCCCTCCCCAGCCTTCTGTGGCAGTCTACATTGGGCTGGCATCAAGACCATTTCCTACGGTTGCCAACTCTCCAGGATTGGCCTGGAGTCTCCTGGAATTAGCATTGATCTCCCGGTGTAACTACTGAAAGCAATCTGAGAGGTTTTAATAGAATATTTTAAGAAAATGACATTATGTCATGTTGGGAAAAAAACTCTCCCGGAATAGCTTCAGTCAGAATTGGCAACCCTACCATTTCCTCAGTGTGCCTTCCATACTGCACTCATACTGCAGACTCTTTTGCAAACCCTCTGAACAGGACTTAAGTGGTGTGAAGGGTGTTGTGCTAGACCGCTGCATGGCAGGGGATTTTCACCTGCCATGAACATTAGTATTACAGGTGTTAGATAGGGTGCATCTTAAACTGTTTTTTAAATCATGCAGGGAAATCCATTATTTGCTTCTTCCCATCACAACTCCCACCAGCCTGCACTGATGCAGAGGTAAAAAAGGAAACAAGGAAAACCACTGACAGCATTTTTTTCTGTAAACTTAAAAAAATTATATTTAATGCTTGACTTCGGCTCTCTCCTGACAATATACAGCATCTGTGAAACTGCAATTCAACAACTTTGCTATACTGTGACATTTAAGGAAAAAAATCTGCTATCTTGCAAGAAGGTAAACTGTGTTTTAGGGAAATGAGTTTTATGAAAAAGTGAACTTGTTTTCCAGCATGAAAGCATGGGCCAGGAGAAAAAAAAATCAGTTATTCAGGCAAAACTCCCACTGTGTTGGCTATGTAAAAAATGCATGTTGTTCAAACAAGCCCACCTTAACAAGCTATAACTGATCTGTCCCCATTATTACTTACTGCTCTACCCATTTTTGTGTTATTTGCAAATTTTACCAGCAATGATAAATCATTCTTCCAAATCACTGAAAGAAGTTGAATATAATCAAGCCAAGAACAGATCCCTGCGAGACTCCACTAGAAACACCCTCACTTGATGATAATTCCCCATTTACAGTTGTTTTTTGTGATCTATCAGATACCATGTGTTTAATCCACTTAATATTGGCTACATGGATTTTGCACAGAGCTATTTTTTTCCATCAGAATGTCATGTGGGCTAAGTCAAATGCCTTATAGAAGCTACCGTTATCAACTAAACTTCTAATCTCATCAAAATATGATATCAAGTCTGTTTGACAAGAGCTATTTTCCATAAGACCATATTGATTGCCATTAATCAATGGCAATCATCTGTTAATTCTTTACTGATCATATCCTATATTGGCCTTTCCGTGATTTTGTCCAGAATCGATCTCAGGCTAACTGGCCTACTGCTACACAGGTCATCCAGTTTACCTTTTTTAAATATTGGCACATTAACTTCAAGGCAGGTCTTGCAGTTTACACTAACTGAGGATCTGTCCTTCAGTCAGAGGACCAGGATGGGTGGGAGAACCTTTCAGTCTGATCTGAGTACTAGCTGCCTCTTTCACTATGCTGGTGCATATGGGACCTACATTTCATTAACCCAATTACTGCTGATATCAAATCATGTCAGCAGCCCCAATTATAGGAACACCAAGAAACAGACATAAGAACATAAGAACGGCCATACTGGGTCAGACCAAAGGTCCATCCAGCCCAGTATCCTGTCTACCGACAGTGGCCAATGCCAGGTGCCCCAGAGGGAGTGAACCTAACAGGTAATGATCAAGTGATCTCTCTCCTGCCATCCACCTCCACCCTCTGACAAACAGAGGCTAGGGACACCATTACTTATCCCTCCTGGCTAATAGCCATTAATGGACTTAACCTCCATGAATTTATCTAGTTCTCTTTTAAACCCTGTTATAGTCCTAGCCTTCATAACCTCCTCAGGCAAGGAGTTCCACAGATTGACTGTGCGCTGTGTGAAGAAGAACTTCCTTTTATTTGTTTTAAACCTGCTGCCCATTAATTTCATTGGGTGGCCCCTAATTCTTATATTATGGGAACAAGTAAATAACTTTTCCTTCTTCACTTTCTCCACACCACTCATGATTTTATATACCTCTATCATATCCCCCCTTAGTCTCCTCTTTTCCAAACTGAAAAGTCCTAGCCTCTTTAATCTCTCCTCATATGGGACCCATTCCAAACCCCTAATCATTTTAGTTGCCCTTTTCTGAACTTTTTCTAATGCCAGTATATCTTTTTTGAGATGAGGAGACCACATCTGTACGCAGTATTCAAGATGTGGGCGTACCATGGATTTATATAAGGGCAATAAGATGTTCTCCGTCTTATTCTCTATCCCTTTTTTTAAATGATTCCCAACATCCTGTTTGCTTTTTTGACTGCCACTACACACTGCGTGGACGACTTCAGAGAACTATCCACGATGACTCCAAGATCTCTTTCCTGATTAGTTGTAGCTAAATTAGCCCCCATCATATTGTATGTATAGTTGGGGTTATTTTTTCCAATGTGCATTACTTTACATTTATTCACATTAAATTTCATTTGCCATTTTGTTGCCCAATCACTTAGTTTTGTGAGATCTTTTTGAAGTTCATCACAGTCTGCTTTGGTCTTAACTATCTTGAGCAGTTTAGTATCATCTGCAAACTTTGCCACCTCACTGTTTACCCCTTTCTCAAGATCATTTATGAATAAGTTGAATAGGATTGGTCCTAGGACTGACCCTTGGAGAACACCACTAGTAACCCCTCTCCATTCTGAAAATTTACCATTTATTCCTACCCTTTGTTCCCTGTCTTTTAACCAGTTTTCAATCCATGAAAGGATCTTCCCTCTTATCCCATGACAACTTAATTTACGTAAGAGCCTTTTGTGAGGGACCTTGTCAAAGGCTTTCTGGAAATCTAAGTATACTATGTCCACTGGATCCCCCTTGTCCACATGTTTGTTGACCCCTTCAAAGAACTCTAATAGATTAGTAAGACATGATTTCCCTTTACAGAAACCATGTTGACTTTTGCCCAACAAGTTATGTTCTTCTATGTGTCTGACAATTTTATTCTTTACGATTGTTTCGACTAATTTGCCCGGTACTGATGTTAGACTTACTGGTCTGTAATTGCCGGGATCACCTCTAGAGCCCTCTTTAAATATTGGCGTTACATGAGCTATCTTCCAGTCATTGGGTACAGAAGCCGATTTAAAGGACAGGTTACAAACCAAAGTTAATAGTTCTGCAACTTCACATTTGAGTTCTTTCAGAACTCTTGGGTGAATGCCATCTGGTCCCGGTGACTTCTTAATGTTAAGTTTATCAATTAATTCCAAAATCTCCTCTAGTGACACTTCAGTCTGTGACAGTTCCTCAGATTTGTCACCTACACAAGCCGGCTCAGGTTTGGGAATCTCCCTAACATCCTCAGCCATGAAGACTGAAGCAAAGAATTCATTTAGTTTCTCCACAATGACTTTATCGTCTTTAAGTGCTCCTTTTGTATCTCGATCTCCAGGGGCCCCACTGGTTTTTTAGCAGGCTTCCTGCTTCTGATGTACTTAAAAAACATTTTGTTATTACCTTTTGAGTTTTTGGCTAGCTGTTCTTCAAACTCCTTTTTGACTTTTCTTATTACATTTTTACACTTAATTTGGCAGTGTTTATGCTCCTTTCTATTTACCTCACTAGGATTTGACTTCTATTTTTTAAAAGATACCTTTTTATCTCTCACTGCTTCTTTTACATGGTTGTTAAGCCACTGTGGCTCTTTTTTAGTTCTTTTACTGTGTTTTTAAATTTGGGGTATACATTTAAGTTGGGCCTCTATTATGTTGTCTTTGAAAAGTGTCCATGCAGCTTGCAGGGATTTCACTCTAGTCACTGTACCTTTTAATTTCTGTTTAACTAACCTCCTCATTTTTGCATAGTTCCCCTTTCTGAAATTAAATGCCACAGTGTTGGGTTATGGAGTCTTTGATCTTTCTCCTCATACATTGGGCCAAGTTCTGTAAGTTTTATTCATGCTGAACACCTCAGTATACCCATCTTGACAGGGATGATCAACTGCGGCTGATCGTTCATTCACCGAACAAAACACAAAAGTGAATATATGTTATAGCGTGGCTGGTATCATTGCTGTTATTAAAAGTTGCCCAATGCTTCCTATTATAAAACCTGGCTTTCAGTTGCTTATAACTTTACCAAACTTTAATTGTTTGGGGCTGATATTTTCCATAATGAGTGTCTGCCTTACAGGCTAGATTTTTTTGAAAGTTTCAGCCAAAACAGTTCAGCTGTTTCTGGGATCAAGATTAGGGAAAATACAGTGTTTTGCCATTTAAAATAATCCTGACAACCTTCTCTTTGAGAAACTCTCATGCACCCATGTTTTGGAAAAAGGAGTTGAAATTTGGCAGGGATGTGACTTGTGCTGTTCCTGAGGAATTGGCCAAGTTATAAGCCTTTATAAAATCTAGGTTCACACACTTTCAGCAGAGACTTAGAATTTAGCAGCTAAAATGTCCAAAGATTCCATCCTCACTGAGCATGCTCTAGCCCCTCACAACTCCTAGCGCTGACCGGACTGTGCAGGCACCATTTCCACAGAGCAACTGAGCATGTTCCGTGCCACCTTAATTTTAGCATTTCCTAACATTTGAGTGCTTGACTTTGCAACCTTAATGTTCTTTTAACACATTTTTATGTGTAATATATATTAAAATAAAGCTCCTTGTAGACGGCTGGAAATTTCCCCACCCCCGGTCC